TTTCACTTTTTTACACATCCCTGGTTCCTGGGGGTAAAATAACTGTTTTCACTCTAATGGGTGCAGTGGAGAGAGGCATTCTAAGTGGAAGGAAGAGCACATACAAAAGCCTAGAGGCCTCCTGAGACATCATGAGGTGTTTGGGGCCCTTCAAGCCGTTGCTATGACTAGAGCATGTTGGCCCCACAGAGAGCTGAATCAAGAGCCAGACCTCCTCTACTCTGCATACCTTGAGCTTAAAGGCAATCAGGAGTTACTGAAGGATTTATAGCAGAGGAATTACACAAATACGATTGCTTTTAATTATTGTTAATTTTTTTTTTTTAGACAGAGTCTTGCTCTGTCACCCAGCCTGGAGTACACTGGTGTAATCTCAGCTCACTGCAATCGCAGACTCCCAGACGTGTTCAAGCAATTCTCCTGCCTCAGTTTTCAGAGTGGCTGGGATTACAGGTGTGCACCACCACACCCGGCTAATTTTGGTATTTTTAGTAGAGACGGAGATTTCACCATGTTGGCCAGGCCGGTCTCAAACTCCTGACCTCAGGTGGTCTATCCGCCTAGGCCTCCCTCAGTGCTGTGATTACAGGCATGGGCCATGGTGCCCGGCTGGTTTTAATTATTTTGATCACAGAGATAATATATAAATACATTTTAATATAAACTCAACTATTAAATCCAAAGTCTAAGTTCTTCACCACTCCCTCCATCCCCACATCCCCAGTTCCTCCTTGGAGGTAATCACTCTGCTGCTTGGTACATCTCTCTCCCAACATTTAAAAAAGTGCATTCACTTATGTATACGCATGCATAGAGATAGATCTGGGATTATCTTGTGTGTTTTCAAACAAATATCATCCTGTCAAAAGATAAATTAAGAGGGACAGAGCTTGGGTTTGGGTAATTCTGAGAGCCAGCTGGCCATCTGTTTACTTTGCTCGGTGTTCATAGCATATTTTGTGAACATTCCAGTTTTTCAGTGAGATTCTTACAGATAAACTGGTGCTATGGGAACCATCTGGCCGACCCCAGTCACAACAGCTGCAAATCCTTACAGCCATGTCCACAAGGCCAGCCTGCTCTGGGACCTGCCTGGGTCAAAACTTTGCTGCCTGCATGTGTGCATTACAGTTCAGCTGGAATTCACAGATATTAAATGTTCTTTGTTGGGATTAGGAAATGGACAGTGTACTTGCCATGTGTTATGGAACAACTGAGGACACAGACATGACCAGGGGTTCTTTCTAAGGGAAACAATCGAAACATTTATTATTTTTGAATTGGTCTACATTGTAATAAAAGTTCATCTGTAACAAAACATATCTACATAGTGATATGCTTTTTACTATCTATAGTCAAGTTAAAGATTACTACCACACTAACAGACCAATGACTTCTAACACACGGGTGTATCAATAGACTAGGTCTTACTATAGCTGTTACTAAATGGGGCCTAGGGGTTCTAAGGAATACAGTTTTAGGAATAAATGTGGAAATGTGGACAGATTTATTTATCCCACTCATTAATTCATTCAATATACTTTGGAGGGGGGAGCAGAGATGAGATCTCACCTTGTCACCCAGGGTGTGGTGCAGTGGCTTTGACCTCCTGGGCTTAACAGATTCTCCCACCTCAGCCTCCCCAGTAGCTGGGACTAAAAGCATGAGCCACCGCGCCCAGCTAATTTTTGTTTTTTTTTTTTGTAGAGACAGGGTCTCCCATGTTATCCAGGCTGGCCTCAAACTCCTAGGCTCGAGCAATCCATCCACCTTGGCCTCCTAAAGTGCTGGGACTACAATCAATACACATTTAGTAGCTATTATTTATGGGCTAGATCATGTAATAAGGTGCCAGTTGAATCACTCTATTCCCTTTGCTCTAGACTGAAGCTTCGATAACACCTGGGAAAATAGACAACTAATGTAATGAGTATCCATAACTAGTTTTACAGACAACCAGTAGTTTGCAAATTATTCCACCCATTAAATGATTCCAAATATTGGAGCAAATGCCTCCAAGTTAAAATAGTCCATGGAAACATGCTCTATATATCTATGTGGTGCTTACAATAAAAGATGACTTCCTGCGACTTACTTGCAACTCCGAAAGAGGTGATTTAGAAAAAAAAAAAAAAAGGGTATGTCACAGTGCTCTTGGGAAATGCTTTTGGGATTTGTCCAAATTCTAGAGTGGAACTCAAGGCTCCTGAGCCAGAGGACATAAGTTATAACTAAGTAGGATGCAACCGAATTGGAATCTTCCCTGACCGTAATCCCATAAACAGTTGTCTAGGTAAGGGCAAAGTATACAGGCCCTAAAACAGGGTACAAGCTTTTCCTAAAACAGAAAGGCACTCTCTTTCTTTTTTTTTTTTTTTTTTTTGAGACGGAGTTTCGCTCTTGTTACCCAGGCTGGAGTGCACTGGCGCGATCTCGGCTCACCGCAACCTCCGCCTCCTGGGTTCAGGCAATTCTCCTGTCTCAGCCTCCTGAGTAGCTGGGATTACAGGCACGCGCTACCAAGCCCAGCTAATTTTTTGTATTTTTAGTAGAGACGGGGTTTCACCATGTGGACCAGGATGGTCTCGATCTCTTGACCTCGTGATCCACCCGCCTCGGCCTCCCAAAGTGCTGGGATTACAGGCGTGAGCCACCGTGCCCGGCCCAGAAAGGCACTTTCAACAGGGCTTTGTTCCAGGATCCCTAATCAAATTTCAAACAAGGAGATTTACATGTTATTCACCTTATCATACATTATTTCAGTGCAAACCTAGAAATATTTTACCAAAAAAACGTATTCGGAAGAATTTGTGAATTATATTTGATGATTTTTTGAAATAAAATTTTATTTTTAAATAAATAAAATAATGAAATTATTTTAAAAAGGAGTGGCGTTTGCAACACCTTAAGAACAATGTATTAATATTCTGGTTTTAAGGGGAAAGTGATGAAGGAACGGGAAGCTGGGTCTGCGTATGCTCCCAGAAGTCCCCAGAACGTCGGCACAAGGCTGAAAAGGGAAGTGGGAGCTTTGTGTGGAGGACTACGGAGAGCGTCTACGGTTGTGCCAAAGGAAAAAAATGTTCCTAAGAGTATACAAACCCTGTTCACCAAAGCCTGGAACGCAAGTGTACCTCCAAGCTGTACACGACCAAGAGAACGCGAACTGAAAGCAGAAGCAGGTCCCAAGGGGCCAGGCACCCCCTCCTCCTGGGTACCCTCGTCAGACAGGAGAACTAAGGCGGGCCCAGAGGTAACTCAGCTCTTGCCGCAAGCCAGCCGCCGCCGAAGCTCCAAGGGAGGCTACGGCCGCGCCCGTCGCCGTGGCAACCGCAGGACGCACGCAGCCCCGCCCCTTCCTCGCGACGTGGCCCCGCCCCCTCCGAACCCGGAAGCGGCAGTCTCGCGCCCGCTGAGCGGCGGTTCGGGAGGAGGGAGCGCGCCGGCCCAAGCTCGCTGGGCCCCGCGCCCCGCCCCTCAAAGGCAGGCCTCCGGCGCGCTCTGCACCGCCCGCGAGTCCCGAGCGCTCAGCTGCCTGCCGCTACCCGGGCCCAGCCGCCTCCACGGCCCGCGCTCGTACTGGAGAGAAGAGCGGCCTCCCGGAGGAGGGGAAGGGACGTGGGGGCGGCCACGGCAGGTGAGGGTGGCGAAGCCCTGGGAAGCGGCTGTGTGGGTGGCTGTGCGAGGTTGTAGTGTGTGTGTAGCGCGCGGCTGCTTCGGTTGTTGTGACTTTGTGAGTGTGATCTGAGTGGGCCGGTCCATGTGACCATGCACGTGATCACATGCCCTTGTGAGTGTGTATCTGAGGCCCAGTCTGGGCTGTGGGGTGGTTGGTGTGCATGTGACCCTGCCTTTGTGTGGCTGTCACCGATGGGACTGGCGGAGAGCTGTGTGCGAGTTTCCAGCAGGAGGTGCAAGCGGCAGAGGGCTTAACCGGGGCATCCTCCTGTAAACCCATTCTGGGGCTACACGACTGCAGCCCAGGAACATTTTTTCCCCCCAGCAAACTTTTAAGAACTCTAAACAGAGGCCAGTTATTTTGAAGACAGCACCTCGGTCTGAAAGTGACAGATGTCTTTGTCGTTGAGTATGGGCCAGGTGTGAGGTTTGTAAACCGGGGACGAGGAACGGAGCAGGGCCGGAGAGTCTCATTTTTCCTTTTCTCGTTTACCTGGGGAGTTACAAGTTAGACATTTATGCTGCTGCTTTGTCTCCACCTACAATGGTTCAGCTCCTTTTGGCACAAAGAGTCAACAAACTGAGGAGTAACTTAATAGCTGTGTCCAGATTCCAAAAGCTTCTATACCAAGAGCATGAGAGGAGATGGCACAGATGTCAGGTAGGCAGCTTTTCCTCCCGTCAGGTTTAGAGATAATGCAATAGATTCCTGAAGAAAAGAGGGATAGATCTCCCCTGAAGAGATCTAAGAAAAGAATTGCTATGTACTTCTGTGGTGAGGGATGGAGACGTGCATTAAAAAACCGGTTGCATCACCCAGAGACTCTCAGCTTCTAATATTTTGTTATGGCTGGTATTAATAGTCACGGACTGTCCATAATGTACATCAACTATAGATTGAAATAAAGTAGCAGAAACCTCTGACTAGCTAAGCTCCTTATGTGACGTAAACGTTGGTAAAGGTGATTTTTGTTGGCTTTAAAGTGGTAGATTCTGTTGAAGCCCTGAGGGATAGGGGCAGAGTCACAACTGGCAGTTTTGTTTTGGGTTTTTTTTTTTTGCTTTGTTTTTGAAATGGAGTCTTGCTCTGTCACCCAAGCTGGTGTGCAGTAGCACAATCTCGGCTCCCTGCAACCTCCGACACCCGGGTTCAAGTGATTCTCCTGCCTCAGCCTCCTCCTGAATAGCTGGGATTACAGGTGCCCACCACCGTGCCCAGCTAATTTTTGTATTTTTAGTAGAGATGGGGTTTCGCCATGTTGGCCAGGCTGGTCTCAAACTCCTGACCTCAGGTGATCCACCCGATTTGGCCTCCCAAAGTGCTGGGATTACAGCACCCAACCACAACTGGCAGTTTTTATTGTCCAGTGGCAGAAGGGACAGAGAAGACTGGGAGTCCAGAGCACACCCTAAAGAGGGACTTCCTTAGGCAAGGTTAAGGCTTATCTCGTGGCCCTTTTCCCACCAGCATGAACAGGTGCTTTTGTTTTTGTGAAGAACAAAATCATTAGAGATCAAATCAGTTTTGAGCTCACAGTCCACATTCTTTCTTATTCATTACTGATCAGTTTGATCACAATCTGTTAACCTTCTTTTCCATATACAGAATATTCCTCTTATGACTTGGAAAAATATCACCCTTTGGTGGATGAAATTAAGCTAGGAGAACAAACTTTTCTATTCATACCATTCACAGCTGCTTTCCCTTTGCAGCAGTGAATTTTTTTTCACTTAGATGTCAGTTGGTCAGATGCAACATTTGGTATCCATTTTACCTTTCATGTAATGCCAAACTAGCACAAGTGTTAAAATCACTTGTGACTACAGAAATTTAGTTACAGCGGGGTGAAATCTCTCCGTCTTGCAAGATTACTTATAACACATTGGCATACTGAGGTGGTTGTGAATTACTCTGAAGACTATTGGTAAGCAACATCTTTCTACTTACTGCTATGGGAAAGAAGAGACAACTCCGTGAATATGTGTGCCTGCATATGTGTGTATTTGTATGGTGGTTTCGTTTGTGCATTGCAAGTGATTCCAAAGCTATGAATGATTTATTTTATCCCGTTTGGTGACTCTAGAAACACACTTTCTGGTTTTAGTTTGCCAAGGTGTTTTATAAATCTGTTGAGTAGATGTTATTTGCTAAACATGTTTTTTTCTTTCCTTTAGAATAGATTGTTTCTAATAATGGAATACTAGGAAATGTCTCCATTAAGAAGTATTTAGATGATATAGGAGTATTTCAAGTCTGTCCAGGTAGAAAATATTCCAGAATTAAGTATATGTGCTAGTTCCTTTCAATTAAGAGTTATAATCAGCTTAGAGAAAGCCTATAGGTAAAATGGCTTTTTTTTTTTTTTTTTTTTTTTGAGATGGAGTCTCGCTCCATCGCCCAGGCTGGAGTGCAATGGTACAATCTCAGCTCACTGCAACCTCCACCTCCCAGGTTCAAGCGATTCTCCTGCCTCAGCCTCCCGAGTAGTTGGGATTACAAGCATCTACCACCACGCCTGGCTAATTTTTTTTGTATTTTCAGTAGAGATGGGATTTTGCCATGTTGGTCAAGCTGATCTTGAACTCCTGACCTCAGGTGATCCACCTGCCTGGGCTTCCCAAAGTACTAGGATTACAGGTGTGAGCCACCACACCCAGCAAGATTTTTTTAACATATTATTATTATTATTATTATCATTATTTTGAAATGGAGTCTCGCTCTGTCACCCAGGCTGGAGTGCAATGGTGCGATCTTGGCTCCCTGCAACCTCTGCCTCCCAGGTTCAAGCGATTCTCCTGCCTTAGCCTCCCAAGTAGCAGGGACTATAGGTGCATGCCACCACACCAAGCTAATTTTTATATTTTTAGTGGAGACGGAGTTTTGCTCTCTTAGCCAGGCTGGTCTCGAACTCCTGACTTTGTGTTTGCCTGCCTTGGACTCCCAAAGTGCTGGGATTACAGGCGTGAGCCACTGCACCTGGCCTTAACATATTAGTATTTAAGATAAAATGGATATGCAAAGAATTATTTTCTTTATTCAGTATTAATAACTATATTTATGCACACTGATTTTTAGCATAAGACTGATGATTTTCTTGGTACTTAAAAGCAACTTACAATTTTAACAAACTTCTCTAAAAGTACCATTTTAGCTTTGAGAGAAGAGACCATTATTACAATGTCAAGGTTGTAAACCAAGTTTAGCATTAGAATGTCTACATCTACTGTCTCCTTGGGGTTCAGCTTAGTATGTCTCCAAGGTCACAGTTGAGTCTACTTAGGGCTCTCTGTTCCTGAGGGAGCAGATCTCGAGCACCACCAAGGAAGAGTTCGTTTGAGTTTAGAATCCCCTGTTCCTTGCCAGTCCAGAGAACTCCCTCTGAAATGACAGTTCAGAGTCAGCCCAGGAGTTAGGTCCTGAAGTCTCACCTCATCTTAGCCCTGCTAGGATCAAGGCTTGCTCTTGAGGTAGAGGAGGTGGTACAAAGCAAATATTTGAATCCTTCCAGGTGGAATTTCCTCACTTGGCAATAAGAATCTGCAACAGGGAACTATAATTTCAGTTTCCTGTTATGACATAGCACAGATGCCTGAGCAAAGAGGGGGCAGGCTTTTAGTTGAAGATGTTCAGCTAGGCCAAAGCTCACAGATGCCAGGTTTAGAAATCAACAGATAATGCCTGCTATGTGCCAAGCACTGTTCTAAGCTCTGGGGACACAGTGGTTCACTTGAACCTGGGAGTCATAGATGAGAAAACAAACCCAAAAAGTATCATGACTTATCTAAGGTCACAGAGCTAGGAAAACTGGAAGTTACTAAGCTCACAACAAAAACTACACATTTTTTCCTAAAGGCAAATGTTTCATTCTGCTGCTAGTTATAGTCCCTTCAAGTTTACATTATAGATCTTTCAGAGGACATTGTGTAACTTAATCACATTGATATGATACAGGTAAATTTGCCTGTATTTTGTATTAAGAACTACATGTGAATTTCTGAAGTTATGTTCCATTACAGTTAGACTTACAGTGTACTGTGAATTTATCAGGAAGCAGGCTTAATTTAAACTTCCTCTAGGCTGAGTGTGGTAGCTCATACCTGTAGTCCCAGCATTTTGGGAGACAAGATGGGAGGATTACTTAAGCCCAGGAATTCAAAACCAGCATGGGCAACATAGTGAAACCCCCATATCTACAAAAATAAAAAATTAGCCTGTCATGGTGGTGTGCGCCCATTGTCTCAGCTACTCAGGAGGCTGAGGTTGGGATAAGGGCTTGAGCCTCAGAGGTCAAAGCTGCAGTGAGCTGTGACTGTGCCACTGCACTGTAGCCTGGACAACAGAGCAAGACTCTGTCTCAAAAATTAAAAAACATAAACTCCTTTCTCTAGCATGGACTATTCCCTATAATCAGACAGGACTATCTTTATTAAATGGATTCTTAAGGTAATGTCAAAAGATAGCTGATGGCACTGCAGTTGAGAACTAAGACAGGAAGTATGGTGTCAGAAAAGGCTGTCTCACATCTGGTCCTAGCATTGCTATGTGGTCTCAGGTAAGTCATTTAAATTTTCTAGACCAGATTTCTCTTCTGGAAGAACTAAAGGTGTTAGAATAATTTGTTTAAGAGCCCTTCTGGTGGGCGGGCATGATGACTCACGCCTATAATCCCAGCACTTTGGGAGGCTGAAGCAGGAGGATCACGTGAGGTCAGGAGTTTGAGACCATCCTGGCCAACATGGTGAAACCCTGACTCTACTAAAAACACAAAAATAAGCTGGGCGTGGTGGCGGGTGCCTGTAATTCCAGCTATTTGGGAGGCTGAGGCAGAAGAATCATTTGAACTTGGGAGGTGGAGGCTGCAGTGAGCCAGGATCACGCCATTGCATTCCAGCCTGGGCAACAAGAGTAAGACCCTGACTCAAAAAAAAAAAAAAAAAAGAAAGAAAGAAAGAAAGAAAACAGAACCCTTCTGATTCTGTGATTGTAGTGTTTCACCAAATTGTTTTCTGTAGTTTGCCAGATTCCTTGATTTTCCTTTTTAAAGTGTTGTTGGTATAGCTAGATCAGACTCTACATTTAATTTTGATGTAAACATGAATTCTTGACGTGAAATATCACATGCTTTTATTTCAGGGTTAACCTCCATTTCAGCTAATCATGGGAGAGATTAAAGTCTCTCCTGATTATAACTGGTTTAGAGGTTCAGTTCCCCTTAAAAAGGTATGTATGGTTTTACTACACCTCTTATTTGCAAAATCTTGTATTGTTTTTGTGTGTGATTTAGATATCATGTCTTAGTAATGTTTGAGAGTAAAGGTTACTGCCAAGTATCATGACTCTGGGTTGCAAAGGGTGAAGTTCAAGTACAGTCACCTTTTGAGACTCATTTTAGAGTGAAGAGTGAAAGCAGGTATAACTGTACTCATTTTATTTATTCATTCATTCATTCATTTGTTTATTTTTGAGATGAAGTCTTGCTCTGGCACCCAGGCTGGAGTGCAGTGCACTGCACAATCTCGGCTCACTGCTACCTCTGCTTCCCAGGTTCAAGTGATTTTCCTCAGTCTCCCAAGTAGCTGGGATTACAGGCACCCAGCACCATGCCTGGCTAATTTTTATATTTTTAGTAGAGGCAGAGTTTCACCATGTTGGCCAGGCTGGCCTCAAACTCCTGACCACAAATGATCCGCCTGCCTTGCCTCCCAAAGTGCCCAGCCTGTACTCATTTTTTATAATTGCTTACGTATTCAAGCAAGCAGGTATGTGTGTACCCTTCTTTATAGTTTAGTGGAAAGTTTACAGCAACTACATAGCAAGTACAGTCAGATTATATTCCTGTTCCTCAGATTTAAAACTGGGGTCACATTATAGAGACTCTGTTTGCAATGACATACTTCTTCTGCCACAGTCATCTCTGGAAGCTTTATTTTCCTGGGATGTTTGAAAACCCTAAACACTCAGTTGAGTGTTAACTTTGCATCCCATATTAATCCCAGATGTTTGGGGATCACACTAGACAAAGGCAGTTCAAGTCACTGAGTAGAATAAAATCTTTGCTAATTCCCTTGCAGAAGTATTAGAATACTGTGATCTTAAGATCATTTGCAGCTGATTGTGATGGCTCACACCTGTAATCCTAGCACTTTGGAGACCTAGGTAGGAGGATCACTTGAAGGCAGGAGTTTGAGATCAGCCTAGGCAACATAGCGAGACCCTTTCTCTATTTAAAAAAAATGAAAAAATTAGTCAGGCATGGTGGTATGTGCCTATAATCCCAGCACTTTGGAAGGCTGAGGCAGGAGGATTGCTTGAGCCTAGGAGCTTCAGACCAACCTGGGCAATATGATGAGCCCCTATCTCTACAAACTTGAAAAAATTAACTGGGCTTGCTGGTGCACACCTGTAGTCCCAGATACTCAGGAGGCTGAGATGGGAGGATTGTTTAAGCCCAGGAAGTCAAGGCTGCAGTGAGCTGTGATCGTGCCACTGCAGTCCAGCCTGGGTGACAGAGCCAGACTCTGTCAAAAAAAAAAATGAAAAGTAAAAATGTGAGTGGCAAAATACACAGGGCAAGAACATAAGTGTGAGATACATTGTCACCATCTATAACCTGAGGAAGTCCAAAGGGAACTGTTAGGCCTCTCTAGACTTTGCCTTGCTCCATTTGTCTGCTCCTAGTGATGCCAGTGACCCTGGCTAGTGTGCTGCCACCCACAGAGTGACACTGTGGAGTCCATAGCCCTGCTAATGAGGAGCTCTCAGAAAAAAGAGCCTGGAGGCCTTGATTTTTTTTTAATACAAAAGTAAAATAAATACTGATTTGCATTGGCAAATGTTTAAGCAGTTAATGTACTTTTCTAAATACCTCCAAAAGTCAGAGAAAACAAAAACTAAACTAGGATGCAGAGAATAATGATAATAGCTAATACTTCTAGAACACTTAACATCTGCCAGACTCTCTGCTGAGCATTTGAGTTCCTTCAGCTTGCCTTTTTTTTTTTTTTTTTAAGAGACAGGATTTACCTCTGTTGCTTCGGCTGGAGTGCTGTGTGATCATATAGCTCAATGCAACCTTGAACTCCTGGGCTCAAGCAATTGTTGTGTCTCAGCCCCCCAAGCAGCTGGGACTATAGGTGTGTACCACCACACATGGCTGATTTTTTCATTTTTCATAGAGATGGTGTCTTGCTATGTTGCCCAAGTTGGTCTTGAACTCCTGGCCTCAAGCAGTCCTGCCATTTGCCACCCAAAAGCACTGAGATTACAGGCATGAGCCATCACGCCTGGCCCTCAACATTTCTTTTTTTTTTTTTAAGACAGAGTCTCGCTCTGTCGCCAGGCTGGAATGCAGCGGCACGATCCCTGCTCACTGCAACCTCCGCCTGCCGGGTTCAAGCGATTCTCCTGCCTAAGCCTCCTAAGTAGCTGGGACTACAGGCGCACGCCACCATGCTCAACCAATTTTTGTAATTTTAGGAGAGATGGGATTTCACCATGTTGGCCAGAATGGTCTTGATCACTTGACCTTGTGATATTCCCACCTCAGCCTCCAAAGGGCTGGGATTACAGGCATGAGCCACCACGCTTACTTTTTTGTTGTTGTTTTTCATTTTGTTTGTTTTTTGAGGCAGAGTCTTGCTCTGTTGCTTAGGTTGGAGTGCAGTGGCCAGATCTCGGCTCACTGCAACCTCTGCCTCCTGGGTTTAAGCAATTCTCCTGCCTTAGCCTCCTCAGTAGCTGGGATTACTGGTATGTGCCACCACATCCAGGTAATTTTTGTATTTTTAGTAGAGATGGGGTTTCACCATGTTGGCCAGGCTGGTCTCAAACTTCTGACCTCAGGTGGTCTGCCCACCTGGCCTCCCAAAGTGGTGGGATTACAGGTGTGAGCCACCGCGCCCGGCCCCCTTAGCTCTTCTAACACTCATTATTTCCCCATCATGTTGAGTAAAGAACCACTCAGTTGGAAAGCTTTCTGATTACCTTCCTCCTCCCTACCTGCTTTTCAAAGGGCTGCTGTAATCTTTGAAAGGTTACAAAGCCAGTTTCTCTCTGTGCCACTCCCTAATCCCTACTGGTTTGAAGTATTCTCCCAGGAGAGTGACACATAGACCTGCCTCATTCCCCTTCTGTGGCAGAAGTCTCCCCCACAACTCCCCAAAGGTGTGGTCTTGATGAGGCTCCTGAAGCATCTCTTGAGCTGTTGCTGTCTCTACCCATCTACCCAGATGGATAGAGACAGGAGATAGGAGTCTTGTCTCCCCATCAGCTCCTCTGTTCGTATTCTGACCCTGCAGATCCCAGCCAGTCCTCTGGGCCAGCACTGCAGAATGACTGCAAACTGCCCTCCTTGTACAGACACATTCTCACACACACACAACCAGAAATGTGGGAAGAAATAAGATGCCTCGTATAGAGTTTACTGTTTAATGTCAAGCAAAATAGATTTCTTCCTATTGTCGTGGATAGAGAGGAAAGTTAGAAACAGAGAAGCGGCCAGGCATGGTGGCTCACGCCTGTAATCTTAGCACTTTGGGAGGCCGAGGCAGGCAGATCACTTGAGGTCAGAAGTTTGAGACCATCCTGACCAATGTGGTAAAACCCCATCTCTACTAAAAATACAAAAATTAGCCAGGCATGGTGGTGTGCGCCTGTAATCCCAGCTACATTGGAGGCTGAGTGAGGCACAAGAATCGCTTGAACCTGGAAGGCGGAGGTTGCAGTGAGCCAAGTTCGCACCACTGCACTGCAGCCTGGGTGACGGAGCGAGACTCTGTCTCAAAAAAAAAAAAAAGAAACTGAGAGAAGGAGTGCCCTTTGAAGGATTATAAAGTAGTTGTATGGAATAATATGTTAGCCTTGAGGAAAGAAAAGGAGATCAGAGGAGTTTGTCATGCATGCTAATCTGGTGTGAGCTCCAGGTTACCTTGTAACACACAAGGCAGTAGTGTTAAAATTGTCAGTGAAATGATAGTGTAAAATAACATAAAAAGCAAATTTATAAGGTTTTCCACTTTTTTTTTCTAACTCTCCATCCAGATTATCGTAGACGATGATGACAGTAAGATATGGTCGCTCTATGACGCAGGTCCCCGAAGTATCAGGTGTCCTCTGATATTCCTGCCTCCTGTCAGTGGAACTGCAGATGTCTTTTTCCGGCAAATTTTGGCTCTGACTGGATGGGGTTACCGGGTTATCGCTGTAAGTATTACTGATACAGTATTAAAATTCAGACTCACATTTTGTGTGTGTGTGTGTGTGTGTGTGTGTGTGTGTGTGTGTGTGTTCTTCTGTCTCTGATCAGCTATAGTAATGGGTATTTTTTTTTTTTAATTGAGGAAAGATACTGTTTGCCTATTTTAAAATGTGAGATGAAGCCTTTTGAAGAAGGCTGGTGTGAGTCCACAGTCACAAGAGATTCACAGGGAACAAACCTCTATTGGCAGCCTCCATGGCCAGCGTTTTCATGTATTCTCTCCTGATGCTCTTCTCTCAACTCGGAGTGGTAGGAAGCATCATCCTTGTTTACAAATGAGGAAACTGAGGTCTGGCTCACACAGCCCATAAGTGGTGGAGAGAGGAACCGAGTTCTATCTCCTGGCTCTGTTTCTGATCCTCATTTTATCACAACATTGCCTCCAGGGTTGCAAAGCACAGAATATTAGACAACGAAGGGATTTGCCAACATACAAGTGACTGAAAAGCTGGCTTATCTTGTAAATCTTTTGATATGTCAGGTGAAGTTCATTAATTAGCTCGTATGTTAACTTTTGATTAGGACGTATTTTGTTCCTAATTCTTACTTTAGAGCCGAGTTTGGTCTAAATCTAGTTTTCCACTGATCATTCCTGAGTCTTCTTTGGGAGAAAGGTGTGTGGCAAAGGCACTCTTCCTGGTGACAATTTTTTTTTTCTCCATGCTTCCACTGTAATGATACAGGTTGGTCAGGACATTGGTCTCCTAATTTCCCAGGAAGAAGAGACTCTTTAGCTGGCAGTCATTTCTAGGACCTGCAGTATCCACTGGGAGTACCGCTGTTAGTATACGATTTATTTACTGTTTAAAGGATGAAAAAGCAGGTCACATCTCTTCTCTTAGAAGGTGGGGTTATCACCAACCGGGGCCACACAAAAGAAATTAGTTCCTCTTCCTCCTGACAGCCCATCTCTTACTTGAGAAAATAGTTATCATCAGCACCACCTTTCTCCTGGGTCTTTTCTTCTCTAGCTTAATTTCTCTGGCTTCTTTAACCATTCTTCACATGACATGTTTGAGTCTCTGCAACATAATCCTCCCTTGTTCAGATTTTCAGTCATTCCTCTTCACGAACAGCATTCTAGAAAAGGGCAGGAACTGCCCTCATCCCAGCCCTCTGCAGCCTGAGACATGACACCACCATTTTTGGTGGCCCCTGTTGATCAGCCAGGGAGGGGGAAACCGAGCAGCCCGCAGGTGCCCATCCCAGTCGGGAGTGCTGTCCAGCAGTGTGTTTCTTACTCCACAGTGGCAGGTCATGAGAGCCTCGCCTTCTGGCTGGATGTTTCTTTTTTACCCTTAGGATTCTTGATGTAGGCTTTCCCTGTTTCATTAGGAGGACAGTGAATCAATAAAAGGTCAACAGCATCTTCAAAATTAGTTTGTCATCAAGATTTGATCAGAATGTTCAACTCCATTAGGTCTTGGAACTTATTTGATATTTGTTAGTATCTAGCAGTTAAAATACACAGGTCTTTTTCATTTAAACTTTGTATTGTTATAATTGTAGATTCACATGCAGCCATAAAAAATAATAGAGAAATATCCGTTTTACACTTTCCCTAGTTTCCACCAAACCTTTGCAAAACTATAGTACAATATCACAACCAGGATATTGATATTACTACAATCTACCAATCTCATTCAGGTTTCCCCAGTTCTGCTTGAACTCATTTGTTTGTATGTATTAAGTTGCATATAATTTTGTCACCTGTGTGGGCATGTATATTTATAAATTAAAGACTCCATGAAAATATCATCCCCTTTCTTTTAGGCTGTCATCTGACTCAAATTCTCAAACTTTCTGTTAGGCAGAATCTGTTCTCCATTCTTTCTTGGGATGGTGGAATTCTTACCCACATATAGAATTTTAATAACAAAAGCAAACAGGCCAGGAGTGGTGGCTTATGCCTGTAATTCCAGCACTTTGGGAGGCCAAGGCAGGTGGATCACTTGAACTCAGGAGTTCGAGACTAGCCTGGCCAACATGGCGAAACCCTATCTCTACTAAAAATACCAAAATCAGCCAGGTGTTGTGGTGGACATCTGTAATCTCAGCTACTAAGGAGGCTGAGGTAGGAGAATTGCTCAAACCCAGGAGCTGGAGGTGGCATGAGTCGAGATCACACCACTGCATTCCAACCTAGGCAACGGAGGAGACTCTGTCTCAAGAAACAAACGAACACCCCAGCGTACAATGAAATAGAGTAGCTAAGTCATTTAAAAGAAGAGGAACAACTTTACTAAATACTGCCTTAAGAAATGCTACCAAAAAGAGAGGGAGCTCTCCTTAGAACAAATTTTCTTTCCAACTCTCCTGAGCCATATCCTGAATGAAACTGGATTTAAGAGAAAACTGTATTTTTTTACTGAGTTGGGTTCTGCTATATTCATCCTTGAACCCCAGACTTTTTCAGCTATTTAGAAAGGAAATTGATATGAATTGAAATTGTTACTCACATAATATCCTTAGAGTGTGCTAACTTTTCATTCTCTTTTAATTTGGTCTATTAGGTAAAATGTGAATTACGAAGTTTAGTAAAAAGTGAGAGCTTATTTTTACATATTTTGTATAGGGAGCAGCACTTGAACAAATGAGAAATGCCGCTATTTGAGTTCTAAATTTTTCAATTATATCAGTTACATTTTTACTTTTATGATTTTTAAAATAAAAATTGTTATTGTTTCAGTTGCAGTATCCAGTTTATTGGGACCATCTGGAATTCTGTGATGGATTCAGAAAACTTTTAGACCATTTACAATTGGATAAAGTGAGTACCCTGAATCTAATTACATACATATGATTTTTTTGTTTTGAGACAAAGTCTCACTCTGTTGCCCAGGCTGGAGTGCAGTGGCGTGATCTTGGCTCACTGCAACCTCCATCTCCTGGGCTCAAGTGATTCTCCTGCCTCAGCTTCCAAAGTAGCTAGGATTACAGGCATGTGCCACCATGCCCAGCTCATTTTGTATTTTTAGTTAATATGGGCTTTTGCCATGTTGGCTAGACTGACCTCAAGTGATCTGCCCGGCTTGGCCTCCCAAAGTGCTGGAATTACAGGCGTGAGCCACCGTGCCCGGCCCTCTTTTATTTTTTAATAATAACTTATTGCAACATAATTCATATACCATATAATTTACCCTTTAAGTATACAGTTCCATGTTTTTCAGTATATGCGCAGGTATGTGCAACCATCACCGCAGTCAGTGTTTTAAAATTTTTTAAATGCAAAAACCTCATACTCATTAGCAGTCAGTCCCTATCTTCCCTCCTACTAGCCCTGCAACCTAATTTACTTTTTATCTCTATGAATTTGCCTATTCTAGATATTTTATATAAGTGGAATATATCATATGTGGTATTTGTTACTGGCTTTTTAAACTTAGCATTATAAGTTTGAGGTTCATTCATGCTGAAACCTGAATCAATACTATGTTTCTCTTTATGGCTAAATCATATTTTTATGAATATGCCATGTCTTGTTTATTCATTCATCAGCTGGTGCACATTTGGGTTGTTTTTACCTTTTGGATATCATGAATAATGTTGCCATAAACATTCATGTACAAGTTTTTGTGTCGATGTATGTTTTCAGTTCTCTTAGGTATGTATTTAGGGGTAGAATTACTGAATCATACTTTTCTTAGACATAAACCACTAAGTGGTTTGGGGTGTTTTTCTTTTCTTTTCTTTCTTTTTTTTCTTTTTGAGACAGGCTTTCACTCCGTTGCCCAGGCTGGAGTACAGTGGTGCAATCATGGTTCACTGCAGCCTCAACCTCTTGGGCTCAAGTGATCCTCCCACCTCAGCCTCCCAAATAGCTAGGACTACAAGCATGTACCACCATGCCCAGCTAATTTTTGTATTTTTAGTAGACTTGGCTTTGTTTGTCTGTGAATAATATTTGTTAACTTATATAGCTTGGATGCAGAATTGTATTATCTTGATGGAGTGTGTAAATTGCATTTAAATACAAAATTTTCTAAATTTCTAGCTGCTGTAAATATTTTAGTCTGTTGGCTAGTGATAACATTATATTCTGTGGTTAGTGATAATTGAAGGACCTTTTAATACTCATGTTCAAGATTGATCGGTATTTTAGGATCTGCCTTATATTTGTTCATGATTAGGTTCATCTTTTTGGCGCTTCTTTGGGAGGTTTTTTGGCCCAGAAATTTGCTGAATACACTCACAAATCTCCAAGAGTCCATTCCCTTATCCTCTGCAATTCCTTCAGTGACACCTCTATCTTCAACCAAACTTGGACTGCAAACAGGTAAAAACAAAATTATTATTTTTGTTCAGTGAAATTTTGAAAATGTTGCATTTTGAGTGTTTGGTATAGTAGGAAGGGAAGGCTTATATATACTTCTATATTCTGCAACTTCCTTGGTTGTTTTTTTTTTGTTTTGTTTCATACAGAGTCTTGCTTTGTCACCCAGGCTGAAGTGCAGTGGTAGAAGCATAGCTCACTGCAGCCTCCATTTCCCAGGCTCAAGTGATTCTCCTACCTCAGCCTCCCAAGTAGCTGAAACTATAGGCAGGCATGTGAGGCACCACACCTGGCTAATTTCTATACTTTTTGTAGAGATGGGGTTTTACCCTGTTGCCCTTGCTGGTCTCTAACTTCTAGGCTCAGGTGATCTGCCCACCTTGGCCTCCCAAAGTTCTGGGATTACAGACAGGAGCCACCATGCCTGGCTCTTTCGTGGCTTTTAAAATTAGAAACAATTACCTTTGTAAAAGGAAAGAATTGAATGAACTCTAAATTCAATTTTTTTATTACCCTAAATTATTTTTAAATTTTGTTTATTCATTCATACACTTTGCTCTTTCTATTCAGTACTTCTATATAACTAATATCTTCTGTTTATTCCACTTATTATTTTGTTTAAACAGTTCCAAGTATTGACTGACATAGTTTTATTAGGCATTTGGCTTTTCCCAATTCTTCATCACGTTCTACAGTAAATCTTTATACAAATTACTGGGTTTTTTTCCCTTTGTGGTTTATTTCCTTGAGATATGTTCTCTAAATGGAAAGACTAGAGACTTTGGTCTGTTAACACATGTTCTGTACATCGTGACCCTTGATGTTAGTCTGTTCTTCTGAAAGATAGAAATGGTGAAAATGCTTCCGGGGTAGCCCGTAGGGTACTGGTTTCCTAGGTGCCATCCTTTCATTTATTTGATCATTTTAAGTGGTTCGGTAGGTATCTATGATGCCATACAGCTGGCTTACTGTGCACTTCTTTCATTGCTAGGAAGGCTAGGCCCTAGCCTTAGAAAAAGCCCAGTGGCCAGGTGTGGTGGCTCACATCTGTACTCCCAACACTTTGGGAGGCCAAGCGGGAGGATCACTTCAGGCCAAGAGTTTGACACCAGCCTGCGCGGCATAATGAGACCCTGTTTCTACAAATAATAACCACAATAATAAATTAGCCAGGTACCATGGCAGGTACCTGCAGTCTTAGCTACTCAGGAGGCTGAAGCAGGAGGATTTCTTGAGCCTAAGAGTTCAAAGCTGCAGTGAGTCATGATCTTGCCTCTGTACTCCAGTCTGGATGACAGAGCCACACCCTGTTTCAAAAATAAAAGCCTAGTGACTAAACACATCTGTATGATCAGTGTTTTCAAATAATGTGTAGGGAAATATTGTTTTCACATCTACTTAAGATTGCACTCTGGAATATTTTTTAGTTTTTCTGATGTTAGTAGTTACTCAGCATACAATAATTTCTTTTTTCTTTTTTTTTTTTTTGAGATGGAGTCTCGTTCTGTCACCCAGGCTGGAGTGTAGTGGTGCCATCTCGACTCACTGCAACCTCCCCCTCCCAAGTTCAAGCATTTCTTTTGCCTCAGCCTCCCAAGTAGCTGGGACTACTAGCGCATGCCACCGTGCCTGGCTAATTTTTTGTATTTTTAGTATAGACGGGGTTTCACTGTGTTAGCCAGGATGGTCTTGATCTCCTGACCTCGTGATCTGCCCGCCTTGGCCTCCCAAAGTGCTGGGATTACAGGTGTGAGCCACCACACCTGGCCTCATGCAACAATTTCTAGTATACATTAGCTACTTACAAATCCCTCCCGTCTAGGTAATGCACAAATAATGCTCATTATTTTGGTGATTTTTATTGCTGTTCTAATTGTTAGAAGGCCAAGACAGCCCCCATTCAGTTTGTGCTCTGGCACATCAGCTGCTTTTTTTCAGGCATCTGAGTGCTTTACTGTGTGCCACACACTGGAATACAAGAGTGAACAAAGCCAGCAGGGTCCACCCCTAACAGAGTGTACTTAGACATCATCACCTTCAAAAGCTAAGAAAGTGCTGTGGCTGGGGGAGAACTTACAAAGTTAACTGGAAGGTGACCCAGTGGTCCTTTTGAGGAAGCTCAATTTCCAGCAAGGCTGTCCCAGTGATAATAAGCATCAGAAGCACCTCTTCTAAGTAATTCATGATAGGTTTAGAGAAATTAGTGTTTACCCTCCATGATGGCTCTTAACAGTTGAAATTAATGGAATAAATATAAAGATTATATATAGAAGTCCACAAAATCTGGCCAGTCACAGTGGTTGTGTAATCCCCAACACTTTGGGAGGCAGAGGTAGGAGCATTGCTTGAGTGTCCAGGAGTTCTAGACCAGCCTGGGCAACATAGCAAGACCCTGTCACTACAGAAAATGTTTTAAAAATTAGCCAGGCCTGGTGGTGCAAGCCCATAGTCCCAACTACTCAGAAGGCCAAAGTGGAAGGATCACTGGACAGGAATTTGAGGCTACAGTGAGCTGTGATCACAACACTGTACTTCAGCCTGGGCTGAACAAGACCCTGTCTCTAAAAAATTTTTTAATTCTTTTTTCGTTTTTTATTTTTATTAGAGACGGGGTTTCACCATGTTGGCCAGGATGGTCTCGATCTTCTGACCTCATGATTTGCCCGCCTCTGCCTCCCAAAGTGCTGGGATTTTAAATTTTTTAAATTAAAAAATAAAAAGAGGCCAGGTATGGTGGCTCATGCCTGTGATCCCAGCACTGTGGGAGGCTGAGGTGGGTGGATCACTTGGGGCCAGGAGTTTGCCACCAGCCTGGCAAAAATGGTAGAACCTCATCTCTACTAAAAATGCATAAGTTAGCCAGGCATGGTGGCACGCGCCTTTAGTCCCAGCTACTCGGGAGGCTGAGGCATGAGAATTGCTTGACCCCAGGAGGCAGAGGTTGCAGTGAGCTGAAATCATGCCACTGTGCTCCAACCTGGGCAACCGAGTGAGACTATGTTTGAAATAATAATAATTTTAAAAAACACATCTATAAATGCCAATTTGCCTTGAATTAGCCAAGTTGAATCTAATAGTAGCAAATTTGGAAAGGTGCGATAACTTTCATATTGGTATTTTAAAATCTATTTTGAAATATCAATCAATAAAAAGAAAATATTGAGCTGGGTGCAGTGGCTCACGCCTGTAATCCCAGAATTTTGGGAGGCTGAGGCAGGCAAATCGAGATCAAGAGATGGAGAACATCCTGGCCAACATGGTGAAATCCCGTCTCTACTAAAAGTACAAAAATTAGCTGGGCATGGTGGTGGGCACCTGTAGTCCCAGCTACTTGGGAGGCTGAGGCAGGAGAATCACTTGAACCCGGGAGGTGGAGGTTGCAGTAAGCCCAGATCGCACCACTACACTCCAGCCTGGCAACAGAGTGAAACTTCGTCTCAATCAATCAATCAATAAGAAATATCAACCAGAAGGAATAAATAAATAACTAAGAAATATCAACCAGAAGGAAAGAATATTTGTCTTAATGCTGTGTTTTCCAAAAGAAATAGTTTAATCATTGGAAATAAGGCAAATTAGAATAATAAAATCTTGGACTCAACAGAATGTCTATCTCAGTAAAGGTATTTCGAAATATCACTTTTAATTATCCTAAATCCTCAAATAAAAGTTTAATTATATTAAGCCATAACTCTTTTGGAAGCTTGAGAAAGTGTATAAAAACTAGATGCTGAACTCTTTAGAGAAAGAGATTAGGACTTTTTATCTAGATCCCAAGCTAATACAAAGCTTTAATATTGAATGAACATTTGCCATGTGTAGTCTTGGAAGCTTAAATTATAAGGTCTTTGTCTATGTTTTACAGCTTTTGGCTGATGCCAGCATTTATGCTCAAAAAGATAGTTCTTGGAAACTTTTCATCTGGCCCAGTGGACCCTATGATGGCTGATGCCATTGATTTTATGGTAGACAGGGTAAGGATCATGACACTGGGTTGGGGACACATTGTATTGGGAATTTTCACATCTACTTGTTTCGAGAAGATAGATCTGTCTCATTGAATATGTGTTAGAGGTATTTGCTAAGCAGTCTTCCAGATTAATACATCTGAGCAGAAATTATTGCTGGGAAGGGCTTGCCTACATTAGTGTGTCCCACCAGCTGTTCATCAAAATCACTTATTAGAGCTTTCAGAAATAGATTGTAAGGCCTCACACCAGACCCTCCATCTGGAATCTCTGAGCATGGGATCTGGGAATCTATTTTTACTTCACATTTTTCCTCTACCCACCAGGTAAATCTGATGCACCAGGTCCATCGGCTTGCCTTTGGGAACTGCTGGGCTAGATGATTTCTCAAGTCTCTTCCAGCTCTAAGATCCCTTAAAGGTTTATCTAAAAAAAAAAAAAAAAGATATATCTGTCACCTTTGAGCAGTAGGAATTGGCTTGCTGCCAACGGGCACCTGGTTGGAGTAGTCAGTGTAGGTTGAGAGCTTTAGAAGGCCAGGTTTCATTGATTTGTATCCAGGTTTCCAGAACAGAAAATGCCACCACCTCCTGAGAAGCCCAGTTCATGGTCTCTCACATATATGGTGGTTCCTCATTGGTGACTTTTCTGGCCCCATCACAGATGATACCACCTTTACAAGTACAAATATTGTCTGTAGATTTAATGTAAATGTGAAAAACAAAATGATTTCAAAAACTTTACCTGTGTTTCTTCCTGCAGCTAGAAAGTTTGGGTCAGAGTGAACTGGCTTCAAGACTTACCTTGAATTGTCAAAATTCTTATGTGGAACCTCATAAAATTCGGGACATCCCGGTAACCATTATGGATGTAAGTTTCCTTTTAAGTAAAACAGCTGCTATACTTTTTAAAATGTGCATGTCAAGATCCCCTCTAAAACTATTTGACAGTTTTAATGTGCCTCTTCAAGTGCTGCCTTGGCTTTTGTTTTTATCCTCCAGCTTTCTCAATTCCAAAAGAATCTGTTTATTGCTTGTCTTGGGTTTCTTTCTGGCAGGAATAACAACACTGAAATCAAAATAGGCTGAGCACAGTGGCTTATACCTGTAATCCTAGCGCTTTGGGAGGCTGAGGCAGGAGTATGGCTTGAGTCCAGGAGTTCAGGACCAGCCTGGGCAACACAGTGAGACCCTGTCTCCTTTTATTAAAAAAGAAAAATAAACATGAATCAAAATAAATGTATAATCAAGGGAGTCTACCCATTTGGTATATTTTTGCTGTTCTCATCAATAGATATTTTACCTTAGCCATTACATATCTGGGCAGCAAAGTGGAGGTACTTCACAAGAGTAGAGAATCAAGAATTCCATAGTCTAATTAGCACAAAAGCTTGCTTATTTTTTTTACTGTGGTAAAATATACATTAAAACATATACCATTTTAGGCTGGGCGCGGTGGCTCACACCTATAATCCCAGCACTTTGGGAGGCCGAGGCAGGTGGATCACAAGGTCAAGAGATTGAGACCATCCTGGTCAACATGGTGAAACCCCACCTCTACTAAAACTACAAAAAATTAGCTGGGCATGGTGGTGCATGCCTGTAATCTCAGCTACTCAGGAGGCTGAGACAGGAGA